AGGGATCTATTTGGTTCGCAGAAAATGGCTTATTTTGACAGATATTTTCTGGCGTAGGAGCCGATACCGAAACACCGATTTTAACCAAATTTAGAATCTCACTATGATGAATTTGATTGCCAGGTTCACCACTTAAATTGACAAGACCTAAGATACAGAGATAAATTGAGAGAATCCACTCCAAAAAACTCACTCTAAAGAGGAGAAATATAAACTGAAATTTTGATTGAAACTTGATACGTACAATGGTGAGAACATGACTATTTATAGGCAAAATCTAACTAAGGTAATAAATGTACAGTTGGGAGCTAGCCATTTTCGTGGACTTTGGTGGCCATTTTTGCTGACTTGTGGCCATTTTGACATAGTTGCACCGGCCTATGGTAGTAGGTGGTGTTGCAGAGTAGCTTCTGCATGCTTGTTGCAATTTCTTGGTACTTTCTCCCGGTGCATTTTCTATGAAAAATATTTTCCTTTCTAAAAATTATTTTCTTATGTTTGAAATACTTTGGAAAATTTTTTAGAGAAAATATCCTTTATTGTTGGGAAAGTTAAGGAAGTCTTTAAAATTTTCAAAATATTATTAATTTTTTTTTATATTTTAAAATATTACTCTTTGTTTATTTTTAAAGATAAACTTTACCCTTTTAATTTTTTAAACATAAATTTTATATATTAATTTAACAATTTATATCAACAAAATACAAGAGAAGTTACATTTGAACACCAGCCAAAGAGGAACCGCGTGCTTTGGAAGTTGGAAAACAATTTCCGGAAATTCCATTTCTTTGAACCAGCAGTCATTTTCAGAAATTGCCTATTGCTTTTTCCGTTGACTACACTTAATTTCCATGGACTTATTTTTCAAGAAGTTACCAAATATTGGAAAATACAGAGCATGATTTCTGAAAATAGTTTTTGCAAACCAAACCGACCCAAAATTTTCAGCCTTTGTTTCTCTCTTCTTGTGCTGAATAGAAGACTCCCATTTCTGGTCTGTGTAGTGATCAGAGATGCTTCACAACTCTGATGGACTTTGCTATCTTGGGATGTCCAAAACCAAACTCTGTGTCCTTCTGGGCTGCTTCTTGTCTTCAGCGCTTGTTGGAGCAAAAAGTTCCAAAACTTATCCAGATGAAGGTAACTTTTTTTGTGTCTTGATTCAATAGTAGAGGCCACAAGGTGATTTTGCTTGAGCTTCTGCCATTTGCCCTCTCGCGGTTTTATTTTCAGAGAATGCCTAGGAGTTTACATTAATTGTGCCTTAAGAACAGGACTATATATGTTTAAGTGCTTTTTGAGATATGTGATGCATATCTCAAAATACTACCGAGCATATATAGTTTCCTTAGCTCTATTCTTTTTAAAGTCTAGTAGTAGTTTGCACTTTGATCTTGCGGGGTTTGATTTACTCTTTCATATTTCAAAATCATAACGTTCATTTGGATGAATTAATTAACGTTAATTACAATTTGCAGTGAGTGCGTTGCAAACCATCAAGAGAAGTTTGACTGATCCCAATAAAACTTTGGCTAGTTGGGATCGAGGAGATCCGTGCACATCTAATTGGAATGGAGTTTTATGCGCTTTTACAACCCCAGATGATGGCTATCAGCACGTCACAGAATTGTAAGCTTTGAGTTGTAAAATAGTAATATGAACTCAAATTCCATATTTTTTTTCCCTGTTTGTCAATTTCGTTTTGCGTGGTTATGGACAATACCCATCACTGCAAGTCATTCCACCAAGATATATAGGTCTAGGTACTAATCAGAACACTCACTAATACATCTTAACGTCGTTGAAAAGTTGTTCCCATAATCCCTTCACCATATAATCATAGCCCTTGACTGGTTAATTACCAGTATTTTGTTTTTATGTCAAGAATTTTCTAAACGCCTACAACCCCACAAAAACTAGATATCAACTTCCAGTAAACTTTCACCTGATTGCTTTTTCACATTTTTACTAATTAACAACTATGCTATATTGCTTTCCTCATTTTTTTTTTCATGCAGGCAACTACTGAATATGAA